GGAGTTGGCAGGGACTCCTCGGGGATTGCACAGGAGTTCTGTAGGAGTCCATGCATGACTTTCTCCAACAGGACTCTCGACAGGACTCCTGCAAGAATTTTTTTGGGACTCCTCATGACTCCATGTTTGACTTTTTACTTTAGAAAGTTCCTGCGAGAGTCATCAGGACTCCTTACGATTCCTGCTGGAGTCTTTCATAAACTTGGGACTCCCGTTGGAGTTTTGCCGGGAGTCTCGATTAGGGAATCTCTCAAAAAAATGAAAATTCTATAAACCAAGAAAGAAAGAGCTAGAAGGCTGAAACTTACTAAACCCCTCCCCGTAATAGAAGACCACATGGTCTTTTATTTTGTCTGACAACTAAAAACTTTGAGGGTGGTCTTCCATTGCGGTCAAATTTTATCGCCTGCTAGTAGTTCAACGGTAGAAGCCATGGACTTCTATTTGGTTTTCAAGTCATACGATCGACAGTGGTCTTCTAATGACGGATTGGTCTTCTATTACTGGCAGAGGTTTATGTTATTGATAGGCAATTGTTGTCATCATAATAAAAAATGTCAGATCTTAATTCGCTTTTTTCGCGACGTTATGAAGTTTTTAATATTTTATATAATGCATTATACAGTTAAATAAAAAAATTCTAAAACTTTCGAAAGAAGTAATATCGACCCAAATCTTTTTAGTCTTTTTACTAGGATACTATTCTCTATCTATCGTCAAAAGACGGCTGAAATCGGAGGTGGACACCAGAAGAGGTTCCCTCGTTAGCATAGATAACGAATGAGTTCAAAACACTTTTTGTTCTTCGTCGGAATGATTGAAAATAAATATCTCACATATGCCGTTCGAGGAAAAAGTGGTTATTAGTTAAGAGTTTAAATAAATTTGATTTCAGGTGAAAAGAAAATTATCAATATAATTTTAAAACATTTAACTGTATTACCTGATGTTTATCTGAATGTTTCAATGTCTGAAGTTTGAGACATTAGATCCAGACATCTATGAAATCCTTGTGGAATGATTTAAACCACTCTCAACAAAATCGATCTGTTTTGCTATACAGTGGAACGTATTACCGAATTTCGAATTACAACTTAGAATGGAACTTAAAAGCTTTCAACATGATACCCTGCTTTTCCTTGTAGAAATTTGTAGGGCAGCCCTCAATCTCGTCCCGCGGGATAAAAAGTAACTTTATGGGCTTGGACTCACAGACTCGGGGGAATAAAAAAAATTCACGGGTCGGGACAAGTCGCAGAAAAATGTTATGTCGTAAGTTTTGTCTTTTGATTGTAGTTATACTGCAACTTCAAATGTTTAATTCTTGTAATACGATCAAATCAAAAGCGTAATTTTATACTAAATATTAAAAATTAACTGGGAGAGGCGAAATAATCTGGATTGAAACGTGAGAAGATGTTTCATATCTAAAACTAGATTTACAGTTCTTTCCTTTCGATTCTGAGGTAGTGAATAGATGTAAATATTTTTTTATACAGCAACTTTTAAGTTTAGAATCAAATAAATTAGGCTGAAATTTTGTCATATGAAATTTGCAAAAATAAGTTTGAGACTTTACGCGTCTCTTGTAACTAACACTTACGGTTTATCTGTAAAGAAAACATTTTTCAAAAATTACGGGACAAAAAAGCCCGTAAATTTTTTAACGGGACAGGCGGGTTCGACACAACATTCTTTGTTCACCGACTCGGACTTACTGATCAGGACAAAAATGTTTACGTTCGAGCTCGGGGAAACAGAAAAGTTTGTCTCGCAGGACTTTCCCTCCTTGACACATACTTGATTATCATTGTAACTATGTAACATCTAGATGTAGAAATTCTCAAAAAAGATAAATCTAGTATTTTATGATACTTTGCCTTGGTTTTCATATATTCAGTTATTGATAATGGTTTATGACAATCAGTTGCCTTTTGTAGCCACTGTTTTTAGATGAATCATACTTTTGGACCTTGCTTTTCCGATGGAAGTTGATCATCCGTTCAATAAAATACATGCTCATACGAAAATAAGGAGTTTTTGTTGGTGTCAATAGATGAGACTAAGCTCCTGTTCTTGGCTTGGACCTTTGTCTCTTTGTCATTGGCTTTCTCGTGCCTCTCCTGTATAGCTCATGTCTTGTGTTTTCCGTTCTCTGCTCATCTCTCTATCTCTCTCCGTTAGCTTCCAGTTCAGTTGTTACTGTTACTATATATTTTTAAAATGTCACTCAAGAAGAAATGTGCATTATGCTCTCGCTGGTGTTCTAACTACCGCTCTTTATCTTCTTCTTCTTATGCGTAGTTTCATCAATATCTTTGATCTAATGGGACGGTATTTGATGAGAACGACCTACATGTTTGCTCTGGTTGTACCAGAACGTTTTATAGCATTAAAGAAACAATGATTCCTTCATCTACTACTGAACCAATGGACACAGCGGCACAAATGACTGCTAATATAGATGATGATCAGTTGACTCTAAATAATGTTATTTCTGCTGGTAGTGGACACAAACAATGCGTCATTTGCCGTCAAGAAACCCGTAGTGGGATGGTTGTAATGCCAAAAATTGCTCGACTAGATTTACTTATTATTCATGTAATGTACGCACCAAACGGCATTCGTTGTTGTTTATCCCACCTTCTCGATAATAACCGTTTAATGCCTGATGTCAAGATAATTATGGAAAATCGTCAGCAACTTGCATCATGCCTCTCATCATCAGAAATGATTGATCTTGTGACTCACCTGCTTTCACTTCTTCATGAAGCTGCTACATCTCCCCGTCTTGATTTTTTGGATCCTTCTTTGAACGCTGAAGACTATTTAATCTGGACAGGATGGACAAAAGATCAGTTCGATAATATGTATAATATCATTTCTCCTCACCTCCGGTCATCTTCCAATCGCCATATTCGAAATGCTCTCGCCGTGTTTTGGATTAAATTAAAAACGAATTTATCTTTTCGGCAGATAGGTTCTATGTTTAATATACCAGGAAATGGCGAAGATCGACGTAGACGAGCTGCAGACGCATTCGACAGCGTTCGTCAATGTTTAGTTGAAAACTTTGTACCTCGTCATTTAGGCGTTCAACACTTAACCAGAGAAGATGCAAAAAAACAAAATACAAGTTTCTCGAAAGAATTTTTTGGGGGCAATGTGACCGTAATTTGGGATGGAACATATCTTTACATAGGCAAAAGTAGTTCGTACTTAATCAATCGAAAAACCTATTCTGGACAAAAGTAAGATGTTCTTATGAATGAACCCCGACATAGCAAATTTCTATTTTAGACATCGCCATTTGGTTAAATTCATGTCCCTGATATTGTCGAATGGTTATATACTTGATACAATTGGTCCATTTTGGGGCACAATGAATGATGCCTCCATTGCAAAGAACATCATAAATACATGTGAAACCCTTATCGAATGGTGCGAGAAAGGAGATACAATGATTGTAGATAGCGGATTCCGTGATGTTATCGACTCTTTTGTTGAAATGGGTTATGAACCCAAAATGCCGGAATTTTTGACTAAAGGATAAAAGCAACATAAATCAATCATCATGCTGACTAATAGTTGATGTTTTGATCAAAATAGTTTATATCAATATCTAATGATGATATTCGTAATGATTGTTCTCCAAGAGATATATTTTTATTTTAATAATGTTCTTAAAATGTATGTTACAAAAATCAAATAAAGAACAATATGATATCATTAATGGATCACTTTTGGTTTCAATAAAAGATCAATGCGTTTTCTATTTATTTTTCACCATACGATTGTCATTCGATAAGTGATATTTTTTTGTTTTGATCTATGTATATTCTACGTTTGTTTTTAGTTGTTAAACGGAAATCGAGAGCAATAATCATGTTCTTATTCACCATCTTTTTGTTAGTACCCGATTGTACGCTATGAAAAATAAAATGATTATTAAAAACTTCAATTTTTTAAGAAAATGAGATTTATGCTTGTTCCAAGAACCACTTCTATAAACTTTTTATACTGAAATATTCGTTAACGAAGGTTTTTTAACTTAAATTAAACAAATATGATACGGTACGATGTTTTCTAACCGTCGATTTGAGTAAAATAGATCGTATTTTTTTTGTATGACAAGAGTTGATTTCGTTAGATCGAACAAAAATTATGGTGGCACCATTCTGAATGATAGTCATTACTCTCTGTCTGCCTGTCTCTCTCTCCCTTTCTTTCTCTCTCTCTCTACCCTAGTCGAGACTCCCGGCAAAACTCCCACGGGACTCCTATCACGGGGTCCTGCGGGATCCTGGAGGATCCTGTAGGAGTCAGGTGGGACTTTCAAGAGGTTTCTCAGGACTCCTGAAGACTCCCGTGGGGCTTCTGTGGAGGTTTCGAGTCCTGCGGGAGTCCAACGAAAGTCCTCAGAATACTCAAAGTCCCACGGGAGTCTTCAGGAGTCCTGAGAAATCCCTTGAAAGTCCTACCTGACTCCTACAGGATCCCGCAGGACCCCGTGACAGGAGTCCCGTGAGAGTTTTGCCGGGAGTCTCGACTAGGGTATCCCTTTCTCTCTCTCTCTCTCTTTTCAGCCAATTTTAACAACACATAAAAAGCATAGTCGCCATCAAGTATACTAAAAAGAAATGTTCAAGTTTCCAGTTGGTAACTTGTTTTATTGAAAAAATTAATGTTCGTATAACAACAGCTGAACTTGTCGCTCTGATGAAAAAAAAGAAATCACATACAATTCACTTATTACTCAGTAGCACAAGAGAGAAAATTGATTTTCCTTTTAATCATAGAAAGCACTATGCTTTGTATATGTTGATGTGAAAATTTGATACCAGTCATTGATTTATCATTGAGACTGCATTAGTTCAACTACCCACTTAAATATTGATCATTTAAAACCGATTCGAATTACTTAATGGACTCGTACCATTCTTCTCAGGAAGATTTATACATTTCTCTATAATCTTTTCCCATCGTGTCTGATTCTCTCTTATATCAACGATATTTTATTTGTTATACTT